GATCGCTTCAGTTCACCTTTGTGAGCCATAATGCTGCTCGTGCTTTTTTTTTCATACAAACATTATGAAAAGGTCGATAAACACCCCCTACTTACACGAAATGAAAGTTTATTCCTAATGTAAAAAAAATATATATGATGATAGTCATAAATATTTTGTGAGTATTCTTCAGCAAGGTCTGCTGAGTGGCCTTCTACTTGGAGTTGAGTGGACGACAGTTTGAAACGTGCATCGCAGCCACTTAAAGCACTCGAGTGAATTAGCATCGACTCGTGATCAGACGGTTGACAGGAGTCTGAACGCTTGGAGCCATGCTTTTATTGTGAAAAAAAAAAATGCTAGCTCAGTTGTGCGCTGTCCACTTATTCGGAATCGGTTTACAAAATGCCAAAAAATGCAGGCCGATTTTCCCAAATGAATTTTGTTTCGTTTGTTATTAACGGTTGAAAAAAAAAAAAAAGAACGGAAATTGAACGTGATTGAATCAAGGATTGTCATTTGAACATAGGAAGTCATTTTTTTTTTTTTTTTTTTTTTTCTGAATCAAGGATTGTTATTTGAACATAGGAAGTCATTTTTTTTTTTTGCGAACCAGACCTGTGAAGGCTTCCCACCTGCTTTCAGCGGCTTCCATCTGCAGTGCTGGAAAGTGTTCTTGTTTCACGTTTTTCAGAATTCGCTGCGGTTTCCTCGCGCCTTGTTAAGTGCAACATGGTTTGACAATTATTTGAAATGCATTTGTACACATAAAAGCTTGCGCGCACAAATCTCAATGTTTTTCAATGAATGAAGATCCCGCCGCGTCGTTTTTTTTTTTTTTTTTTCTCAAATGGATTTTCCAACCGGTTCTAATTTCCCTAATTGTCTGGATTCTAAAGAATTGTGAGCCATAAAATCGTCTCGCGCCCAATTCCCGCTGAGCCTGCGTCTTATTTTCCCCACTGTGATACTCAATAATTAGAGAGCGAAGGATTTCATGTTCATTTTCTGAAATACAAAACCCATTTGAAAGCAATGTTTTGTCACTTTCGGCACGCCCGCGTCGACCACAACAGTAATCGAAAATCTGTTATTTGCCGCGGCGTTCTGAAAACGACTTTTTCAAAGATCTCTTTCCTCTTCTGGTGCAATGAAGTTATTGAATGCTAAATTTTTTTTTTTAACAGTCGGGCTTTCTAATAATCGAAAAAGATCAAATTCTTTCACATTGTCTAATTCAGAATGATGCCAAACAATTTGTCATCTTATTGAAGCAATAAAATTGCTGTTTAATGAATGATTGACACGTACATCACGGGAATAATTTGTAATTTGCAGCAGCATTATGAGAACTGCTTTTGATTTATTTGGCACAATTGTCGTGTAGAAAAAAAAAATGATGTCGGTCGTGGTACGTTTTATCAATTGGTAATTTTCTTTATTCTTTCAGTTTCCAATAGATGGCATTCATTGTTATCACTAAATCGACCCCTTTTTTGTGTGTGACATGTTTAGCAGTATTTTGGATCATCACACAAATGTAATTATTATTTTCGTGAAAAATGGAAAACATACATTTCTGTTTTGAATTTGTTTGTGCAAAAATGTACAATGACAATCATAATATTTTGGACAGGAATAGAACCTCAAACAAGAAAAGGCCTAATTATTTTCACAAAATTAGCACTCGTTTGTTTTGGAAAAAGGCTTTTTGAATCTGAATTCAAATTAGAGTCAGAGACATTTGCTTTTGTTGTGGGGTTTTTTTTCTACACGCATATATCAATTTGTTTGAATCGCACAGCTAAAGGGAAGAACATTGTCACTTATGAGTGATCCAATATTGTTATCCGATCTGAGAGCACGCGAGACAATTGGTGATCAATAAAAGTGAAGAAATGTCAAATGATGCACCTGCCTTGAAGTGTATGTTTTACTTGACCATGTAAAGTAAGACATATTAGAAAATGATGCTTTCCCCTTAAGATGTATAATATAGGGGTCAATAGTGGTACCCATAAGCGCCCCCACCACCACCACAAGCGCTGGCAGATTTAAGACCTTGCAAGACTGCATTGAAATAGCACCATTTGACCTTCACCAATTTCAAATTGGCGCTTTCTTCCCACAATCATGATGCCGGAGCAACTTGGGGGGGCACTCCAACACCTGAGCCATGCTGACCTCCACAGTACAATGAAATTAACTCCAAAAGCTTTCACGTGATGAATGGCCATCTAGGCTACATGTTCAACTAAAGACGACTGCAGAGGATATCGCTATACTCTGTGTTGTTGTTTTGTTTTTGGATTTTGTTTTGTTTTTCCCTGTCCCACTTTTCTCAAAATGTGGTGTTTTTGCACAAAAAGTAAATTGCACATGATGTCCATGATGAGTGAAAAATGCCATTTAGAATCCATTTCAAATAAAGCAGCTGACTCAAATGCTCCTCACAAGAGGCATTTATTATATTTTCAGGACTTGTTGACAAAAAAAAAAAAAAAACAATACAATATGAATGGGAGCTGGCGGAGGAATATGATAATCGGTGAAATGCATTCCGAAATGCTCATTCCTATTGAGCTTGAATAGGAATTATCAGCTGCCGTAACAGCCCATTTCGTAAAGAGCAGTAAAATTGCCGGCACAACCACATGAATCGCAACATATCTTGACTGCCTACGTCAGGAATACTGGGGGAAAAAAAAACGATATAATCAATAAGAAAAAAAAATGATGCTGAATTGATCATCTTGGGCAATTCATTTGGCACAAAAAGCAACAAACAAACAAAGAACAGACATTGAACTGAGACTGGGACACCCTGAACTGGTTGCCAGCCAACCAGGGAGAACATTTTAAAATAAAAAAATGAAAACATGTATCGCACTCCTGAGACACAATGTCATGTCAAAAGTGGTTCCAAATTATTATTGAATTGACTCTAAATATTATTTAAATGCTCTGAAGTTGGTTTCTCATCATTCAAGAATCCTTGTTACGAAAACCTTTTGAGCCATCTACAGGAAGAGGGAAAAAAAAAAGGAGAGCAAGATGACTCGGCAGAAATGACATCATCAAACTAATTGCACGTCGGTTTGTTACATTTTTTTTCAACCCTGTTTATCATATCATCAGAATAAAAGATTAATAAATAGCAAACGTTTTCTTTTATGTATTGCTAAATTTGTTTTTGACCAGTTAGCATCACGGCTAACAGGGCTAGCATTTACTCTTGACTAATTCAAAAATTACAGGATGAATTCATCAATATTAATAAAATGTGTTTTTGTTTGAGCGAGTCAAAATAGATGATTATGTTATTTTATACCTGTTATTTTATAAAACATAAAAAAATGTATGTAAAATAGTGCCTAAATTGTCATTCAATTCTGGAGGCCTAGCAGCAGACAAAGCCATAAACACAAACAGAAGGATATGACCACACACATTTATCAAATCTATTTCAATCTAAACCCAAATGTATTTTTTTTTAACAAGTGCAAAATACTTTTCATTGGTTTGCAGAGTGATTTTTTTTTTTTTATTTCAGCTTTCTTTTACATCCGAGCAGGCCACTACATTTATTCTAAAAGCACTTTGTACTATTTCAATTCTAATCAGACATGATAATTCATGTAGCATTGGTTTTTTTTTGTTGTTTTTTTTTTTTGTAATATGGTTGAAAAAGATTGCTTTTGTAAAATCTTGGGTGGGTTCTGCAGAACAGCACCGCGACAATAAGATCGCATGAGTAATGCAAATCAGATTTTCGTTTTCTTCAAAGGAGGCGTGCGAAAATAATTTCTTCTTGCCCAGCATGATGAGGAAATCTCCAGCGTATCGTCACGAGACGTGACACGTATGAGGACATGACTGTCCGACTCAAGTTGATCCTATTATGAGTTTAAATGGATTTCACATGGGTGTTAAGATTCAGATTGTGCAATCAGACATGGAGGGTGGAGGGGAACAGGGGGGCTGGGACCATATTCATGGTGCGTTGGTGGGTCACAAACTGTCCCGCTGTTGGTTCTAGACCATTTGAGCAAGAAGTAATTGTATAATACCTCGTTCTGCAATGCATAAATTGAGCTGTCCAACAGTCACGGTAGATTTTGTTTTCCCATTGAGCGGGTGTGCGCATGTGAGCGTGTTCCTTTGCGTGGCTCAGCGGAAGAAAAAAAAAAACATCATGCAAGTGTCATAAACCTGACGGAGATAAATGGCGTTTGAGCGGCCATTTGCATAAAAAAGGGGAATAAACGGGCGGGGAATGGGGAAACTCAACTGCATCTTCGCTTGCCTCACTACGACAATAAACGTGCACTGAATTGAGTGGGATGAGGCGAGGCTCTTACGCAGCTGCAGTACATGCAGGCAGTTCATCTGCTCATCAGAATATAATAAATGAGTATCTATTTATGTATGTAGGATTCTGAGTACAGCTGATATATTGGAGGAAAAATATATTTTAATCATGAAAATACCCATCTATCCATTTTCTGTACGTCTTGTTCCTGTTAGGGTTATTAGGGAGCATGAGGAAAAACATGCCAACTCCACATAGGAGTGCCTGAAAGACTATTTTAGTGTGCTTCCAACAATAATAAGAAGAAGAACTGAGAATAAGTATAATAATATGGTTGTGTGTAGGTCTCATGTCCTTTGACTGAATGGCAACCAAATTCAGGGTATAGTCAGGCTTGTACCCAAAGTCAACCCAAGCACGATGAGTATATATATGTCCATCCATTCATTTTCTGAACCATTTATCCTCACAAGGGTCACGGGTGTACTGGAGTCGATCTCAGCTGTCTTTGAGCAACAGGCGGGGTACACCCCGAATTGGTTGCCAACCAATCGCAGGGCACACAGAGAGGAACAAACATTCGCGCTCACAATCATCACACCTAGGGACAGTTTCGAGTATTCCATTGATCTGCCACGCATGTTTTTGGAATGTGGGAGGACACCGGAGTACCCGGAGAAAACCCACGAAGGCACAGGGAGAACATGCAAACTCCACATAGGAAGGCCATAGCCAGCCGGAATCGAACCCTGCACCTCTGCACTGTGAGGCCGAACTACTTCTAAGCCGAAGCCCACGATTTTGGAACCGAGCCGGTGATTTTTTTTTTCTTTTATCATTTAAATTGGGTGGGGTTGTTATCGACATTCTTCTTTTTCTTGTATGAAATTTATAAGATATGTATTTTCACAGTACAGCACCGATCGATGGAACCGGTTGGAAAGTTGGGTGTTCTACTAGGTTGGTCATCTCAGGAAAACAAAGGCTGACTCAAATGCCATATTGATGTCATATTAAATAAAATCAGCCCTTTTCCTTACTGCAGTACATACTGACCCTGTGCTCAAGTCAAGCTATCTCTTTCAGCAAACAACCTACCAAGCAACACAGCAGACAAACACACAGAAAGGAAAACGGACACAATTCTGCCCACCACCAAAAAGACAGATGCATGAAGGCAGGGAAAGCAAAAAATTGCAATGATTTCAAGTTCAAGGAACAGCCACCCAAACTAATTGTCCTCCCCCTGGATGGGTAGGGTGTTGGGGTGAGGTGCGGTGAGGTGAAGTGGGTGGGTGGGTGTCGGGTGTTGGGCGAAGAGAGGACTCTCCTCGACTACGCGTATTCTTAAGCAATAACAACGTGATCCGTATTATCCACCCAAGAATACCCGTCACCGAAGAGAGTCTTTCAACATACACAGGAGGCTAACCAGAAACCATGTGAGCAGTTCCACTGCCATTGCATCATCCTCCCCACCACCATGGCCATCACTGTTGCCATCGGCAGAACCTTCTTCATGCTCCAGTGGCAAACAGACACATAAACAGATTGCGAAAAGGTGGCGGTTGCATTGATTGAAGACACCTCACTGCAGTGTGAGGCAAAGTTCCATCAATGGCTCCTCTGCGAAGGAGAAAATTGACAATGGTGGCAGTTTCAATATGAGGGTCATTCCAGAATTGGAAGACATTTTCTGTCTCCCACCCCATGAAATTTTCAAATCAGCCATAGCACAAAATATAGAAGCATGCTCTTATCAACTGTACATTAGAGTTGTCCTGAGACAAAATGTAACTGTAGTTGCAGTAAAGGTGATTCCTCAATATTTGAAAGACCAAATAGCTCTTGAGCACCCTTTAAAATGCAATTACATGATTTTCTTGACTTTTCTTTGTTCCTGTTAAAAGGTTTTGTTTCTAAAAGACATGTATTTGAAGAATAGCAATTATGCTCTGAAGGTCTACACCCAACTGTGTCTAAATTTCTTAATCCATCCAGAGAAAGTGGAAAAAAAGTGAGCTACATGAATTAGAAATGAAATGAAATCATCACACTAATGGCTCTGATAATGTGTAGACTGAAGGTCAGTCGTTGCTTCTATTTTTATATTTTTTCCAATGTTTTAAGCCATAAAGTCATGTTCTTCTTAAACAAATGCAACCACGTGATTGGGATTATCAAAAAAGAAAAATCATGATCAACGTTTGTCTTTATGTTCCTATTCTTTACTCGTTAGCACAGCCTGCTAACAGAGCTACATGTACCCGTTAGCAAAAACTCTCACATTAGTATTGATTTGCAGCATGTTACTTGAAATCTTTTCTTTTTTTTAATGATCATTCTAAACCTTTAAAGCTTAGTGGCTAACATAGCTAGCATGTACACTTGAGCAAAAACCTATTGCATTAGCACTAATTTGCTAAACTGTTCTGAGAATCCTGTAATTGGAATAATTGTGAACTAAAATCTAATTCGTATTCAAACGAAATGTAAATTATCTTTACTTGATTGTAAAGGTTTTGCTCAATTATTTTCTTAATGTTTTTCAGGTGGGACCTCCAAACAGTGTTGGGCTCAGGAAAAGTATACTTTTGGTTACTACCTGTATTGCAGAATTCAGAACATATATAAGAAATGTTCAATTTTTCAAAAATATTGGTGCCTAAATTGTCCTCCAATTTTGGAATGACCCATGAACCAGCAATGTGTGTTGGGCAGGAACAAAAAAAAAATGGAGCAGAAAAGCTTTGGTTAGATTTCATGAATTTCTCACTTCTGGAAACAAAACTGGAGGTGACAATAAATAAGGGGCAAGAATATGATAAAAATAAAGATGCTAAATTCCCACAGCAAGGCACTTACCTCAACTACAACCAAATCAGCTTCCATTGGTGACTTTTGGGGTTCTTGGCCACTGTCGTTTCCACTGTAGCTCGGCCCTGTCATAATGAGAACTGGGGCTGTGGGTCGGGGTAGGGAAGGTATTGGAAATGGGGGGGATGGGGGGGTGAAGAGGGGTTTCACATGTAGGGGGAGACGTGAGGTTAGGGAGGTCATTCCGGGAGCTGCTTTGGCGTGATGGTGGGCCCATGCGATCCATTACCACCAGCAACCCCCCCCCCACCCTCCACTCCCCCACCACCACCCTCTAAGACCCCACAACGCTGGATATTAACACATGGATCGAACAACATAAGGGAGGGTGCAGCACATGGGGTGAACAAATTAGTTTGGCTAAATAAATACATTCACAGTGCTCTTTGACTCGTGTGTCAGAATTGAAGCACAATGCTTATTTCAGTACAGGACATTTATTTTAGTTTTTTAAAAACAGTTTTCAATTACGAAATATTGATGTAATGTTCATTATTGTGATCACCTGACATCCATTTTTGTATTTTCCAATTAGACGGGGATTTCAATGAAGAAAATTAATGATCGAGCACTAATTACTGAAAAGATGATTTTCTTTTTTCAAAACGAATTAGCTCATTTTAAAAGCATGTTCCAGATGACCAAGAGTTATTTAACCACCTCCTCCTAAACATAGTGCATTCATTTTTTTTTCATCATTTTTCTTTTTTAATAAGACATATTTCCAATATCAAATTAGTTAACATTAAACCCCTGTAGAAATGTCAATGCTGAACCTTACATATGGGATCAATAGCTCAGACGTGTTCACGGGTTGGACTGCTGGGAGGGTGAAAAACTATTGGTTTTTTTGGGTTTTTTTTTAATAAACCCAAAAGAAAGTAAGTGTTTTTCTCCCTCTCTTTGTCTCCCTCCACCTTTTAATTTTCATCTCTTCCTCACCCCCAAAAAAAATCATGCACACACAAACACACACACTAAAATCGTACAAATTACACATGCATATCGTGAGCCAAAAACAGTGAGAAACCCCCACCCACCCACAGACTGCAGAGATAAGATTTACCACCCGCAGCCATACAAACACATACTCAGCTAGTGTGGCCCAACCCAGACCATCTGCAGAAAAAAAAAAAAAAAAAACTAAGGGCGCCAGCGTACAGAAGCGAGAAATCATTTCACTCTCTTTCCTCTACCAAACAAACACATAAGCCCGCATACAAATTCAGGGGTCGTCAATGCCAAGTAGTATTGATTATTCAGTGGAAGCACCCAAAGACTCATCAGATTATGCTGACAGCTAACGGCTAAAATCAAACACCAAGAATGATCCTTGCCCCTTACACAGAATAATTTGACGATGGAATCACTACAGGTTGACAAATATGCCGCAATAAAAAATTAAATAAAATACCCCAAAAACAAACAGAAACAAGTTCAATGGGAGTGGCATGTCTCTCATCCAGCTGTTTGTGTGTGCGCGTGCGTGGGTATGTGAGTGATTTATTGGCTTTCAATGTATGGGGCACCCAACCTTTCCTTTTCGCATTTTTTTTTTTAAAAGGATGACGCCAAAGAATGAATGAATGAATGAATATCCTTGAAAAAAATTGTATGAGTGGGTTGAGATCACGTCTTTGACACTAAGGAAAATATATACTAATATCCTAAAGTTGGATGAAATAAGGTAAACACGTTACATTTTTCTTTCAAGATGCTCCACGGGAGGAGAAAGACAGGCGAAGTCAGTTGTTGGCCTCTTACCCGCTTTTCTTCCTTTTTCTGAAGCCCAGGGTGTTGCCTCTCCTGGCGCACCTCTAAAATTCCCTCCCCTTCTTGCGCTCTTTCAGCCTGATGCCTTCCTGAGGGTCCGTGGCAAACTGGGAGGTGGTGATCTCCCTCCCCCTCCCAGTTGTAGGAAGAGCTCCCTGAAAAGAAGGAGGAGGTTGATCCCAGTAGGAAACAGTAGGATGCGGCGCTGGACGAATTGGTACTGATGCTGCCGAGGAGGGATGGCAAACAAAAGCTCTCCTCTTCCGCCTCCTCCCGCTGCACTTCTCCGACCACTCTTCCAGCTTCCCTTCTCGGGTCCATTCAAGGAAAGGAAGCTTGTCGTTTCTCACCGCGGCAAATGAAGTGAGGAGCCGGCGGGGCCGACGGGAGAGCGGAGGGCAGACGTGTTCAGAGGGGGAACGAGAGAGAGAGAGAGAGAGAGAGAGAAATGGAGAGCATGCGGTGTGATGAGGCATAAGAGAGTGATGGAGCGGAGAGAAAGGGATGCGGAGGTAGAGATGGACAAGGGCGGGAGGATGGATGCAAAAGAGGAGGAGAAAGACTGATAAGACACGATGCGGGGACATATGAGGGAAAGAGAAAGCAGACAGGAGATCTATAAAGAGAGAGAGAGAGGGTGAATGAGGGGAGATTGCAGTACCAACAGTTGTTCAATAGACTCTCTCTCTCTCTCTCTCTCTCTCTCTCTCTCTCTCTCTCTCTCTCTCTCTCTCTCTCTCTTTCTCACACACACACACAATAACTGTATATTTAAATTGTATTCTTCCTCACTCAAATGTAGTCACACCCTCTTACCCACCCTTGGACCCAGTAATGGTGCATTAATTAGTGTATCGTGTTTTGTGTCCTCAGTCAACATGTCCATTATCGCTAAAAAAAAAAAAAAAAATCCAGTAAAGGATAATAATGGCCATGATGATAATGATGAAGAAGAGGATAAATAGGAAAATGGAGTTATCCCCAAGTGAATTGTGGAAAACACACAATGAGCCATGGGTGGGGGGTTGCTGCAAACAAATGCTGCCGCAATTAAGGCTGGTGGTGGGGGAGAAGGCGCTCACATTTTCTACTTTTTGTCGTCGCCGGCGTGAAATAAATAAATCAAAAAGATTTGCATATCTTCGGTTCACAGGGGCCTATATTCTGTCAATTGATTCAGGTGTCCATGGGAATTAAAAAAACCTGTTGGCTGAGCAGGATAAGACTGAATCAAATGCACACACATTGACGCGAATCAATAAATGGATCAGATATTTCTGACAGTGGGTGAAGAAGTCTCAAGGGAGAAAGAACTAATTAAGAATCCAAATAAAAGATAAATAAGTCACAAATGTGGCTGCTGAAAAGGCTTCTCAACCCCGACTATAATTCCCTGTGGCGGTGGACACCAACATCACTCACAATCGCACGTACAGGAGCAAATCACTTGGAAATGCACGGGTGATGTTTTTACTCTTTTTGTGTGTTTGTGTGGCGTTGAAAGCTGTGCACACACATCAAAGAAGCTTTCATGCTCTCGTTTTTGCTTCTTTTACATCAGCTTTTCTGAAAGGCAGTAAGACACGGTTACACAATGTCATCTTTGTAACACACATACATATATATATATATATAGAGAGAGAGAGAGAGAGAGAGAGAGAGAGAGAGAGAGAGAGAGAGAGACATGTGAGTCTTGATTATTAATTTTGTGACAGCACACCGAAAATTGATCCTGAAATTGTGAAATAGGCCTACAAATCATTAGCTTAATACCATAATTGCCCAAGTCATTTTTACTTTCCAACACAACAATTATCTAAAACAAAAAACCCCAAACTTTGTGCTTGCTCAAAAATCGTGTGTACTGTACTCTGAATCGATTGTCAGTCATCGTGGTGATTGTCATCTCCTAAGATGGCATTATGTCAATTGAATTTGTTATGTTGTTGTGTTTACCGAAAATTCTTTTCGCCCCCCCGCATATAAAAATCAAATCATCCTGATATTTGTGAAACAAAGGAATCAAGCTGAAGACAAGGACTGTTTCATGGTTGTGCACTGCCCCCTGATGGCAGCGTCCAAGTTGTTTGTTGGATGGCTGGTGCAACTGGTGCTTTTATTTTCTAAGTCGAACAAGAGACGTACAAACACTCAGACGCACTTAAAACACTGACTTTTTTTCTCATCTGGTCATTCCAGGATATTCATATACTAACGACTGCCCGAAGACAGCTAGGATAGGCTCCAGCACGCCCGGGGACCCTTATGAGGATAAAGCGGTTCGGAAAATAGATGGATGGATGGATGGATGGATGTTCATCCAGTACACCCATTAACTGTACATTTTTATGCAATCTTTTTGTCATATATTTTGTGTGTTCGGCACAACCCTATTACAGATACTTGCCATTTTATTTGAATACTGATTGGGTTTCAGGACAGTATGAAAGTAATTACAGTAAGACAGTCCGGTTTTGCTCAACAATACATGCTAGCTGTGTTTGCTGCCAAGCTACCTGATCAAGAACAAGCAAAAGAACATTCTGACATGAATTCATATTTTTTTGATCATCTGGGTGACAGGGTTGCACTCCATTATGGCTGTAAACGTTGACAAAATATGTAACACAAAAGTTTTCAAATAAGGCTTTACCTTAAAACTTTGGTAGCGCAAAGGTCAGAGCAATTAGCTTGAATTAGCTTGTCATTTCTGCCGAGTCATCAAGCTCACTTGTTTTTGTTGTTCTTTAGATGGCTAAAAATATTTCAGGAACCGGGTTGCATGAATGATGATCCAATTTAGGACCATAAGAAAAGTGAGACCATATTTCTTAAAAAGACAACAACTATTTAAAACATATATTGTCACTTTTAACTTGGATCAACGTTTATTGGAGTGTAGTTGGGGGGCCCTCTCTGCCTCTTCTTCATGTTGTTAATAACACTGCAATTCTTCCTGTCGACCACAGTGCTCTGAGGTGTGTTGTGGCACAACGTAGTACTACACTGAAAGTACATCGACTCGCTGCTGGGATTTGATTTCTCACGGAATGTCTATTAAATTAAGAAATACAGTAGTATGGAGAAACCGACTTGAATGGGGGACCTGTGACTACCTAAACAAATATCATCCTCCATTTAAGTCAACAGAAAGGTTTTCATTGACAGGTTGCATAACAAAAGGTCAGCGATAGGCTCAGCACTGCTAATTAAGTCCAATTGTTGAATGTCAGCTCCACAAAGGGCAATGCTAATCCACAGCACTACCTAAATAAGAATCTTTGTGTGCACGTGTGCGATGTGGCAATACAATTTCTCACGACCACAATTCGGCATCAAAGGTTGAGAACACGTTTGTTTTACTTCAACATTTTCTACGTGCAATTTCTGTTTACACCTAAATAAATGTAAATGCTCCATTTGTTGAAAGACAAGACTGATCATGTTTTTGTTGATCTATATTACAGTACAGAATTACTATACTTTGGTAGTATTTTGCGTAATGTGGTTCTTAAATCTATGAGGATCCTGACAACAAGCTACTCAAGGATTGTAGCCTGACAAATCTGCTGCAAACATTCTACAGTGCAGGAGAGGACGCTGTAGCCTACTCCCCTCATTAGGCCTACTTATATTTTCGGGCAAAAAAAATCAATCAACAATTTAAAAACGTTTTTCAAGACAAGCTGCATGGCTCTTCTCAGACCTTGAAAGACTGCTGGCATGACTACCAGGTCAGTTTTACAGTGTTGTGCTTGCTACTGTTTTCATTTTTAATTTATTGTTTTATTGTTGTGTGAATTTTTGTTTCATGTGCAGTACAGCGGTGGTTGTTTTAAATTGCCCTACAAATACAGTTAAGAAAAAGTTCCCCAACCCTGGCTTATGTTTATCAAGTGTTGATTTCATTTGGTTTTGCTGACATCAAGATGCCAATATCCCCCGCAGGAAAAAAAAAAAAGAAACCGTATTAGGTGTGTGTAACCACTTTAGCCTCTCCCCTTTCCTTGCACCACCTCGTTGCTTTCACAGCTAAAGAAAATGCAGTCACACTGAGCCTCGGAGGAGCTGAACCTTTGAAAAACACAGACAAACTGTTATGAAATGACAGGGAGATAATGTGATGGTGTGGCGTGGTGACCTTTAAACACAGGCTGCTGCTACATCCCAACCAGTGAAAACCCTGACCTTTGTAAAACCATTACAGAAGACTCTAATCTGAAAGGTTGGGGAGGGAGACTTGCACACATCGAACGGACCCAATAGTGGACATACAACTTCCATCTCCGGATGCATGTATGCATCGATGCATACATTTGCATACATATATGAAAGGAGAAAAAAAAAAGAACTAAAATAAAATGTTATTTCCATCTTGAAATAAATTAGAATAAATGAGTGAACAATACCGAATTCATTTAGGATGTCACTTTTTTGTTGGCTCGTCAATTAAATCATGCATTCCTTTTCATTTCTGCATCTGAAAATGGCTTTTTGTGCTTACCTGGCCCAAAGTGACAATCTGGATGAGCTGGCGATTTCCTGGTGGGCCTGGCTGCTATAGGCACTCCTCAGGGTCACTATTATAGTCAGCAGAATAATTTGCCCTGTCAATTCAAAGCCCTCAGGATATAACCTCCTGACCTAACTTGCAAGCGATTTATTGAAAAACAAACAAACCCAAAGCTTTCGTTTTTTTCTGTTCACAATTTGTGCTCACTGCTAATAAAATAGGCCTATGTATGGAGCTCGATTATGAAAACTAATATACAGTATTAGGTAATTATTTATCCTGGTCTCCATTATTGTCTTGTTCTGCTTCAAACAAAGATCCCTTCAATGCGCTGCCATGTTGTCTTGATTCAAAACAAAGAAAGTGATGATTGTCCCCATATGATTTGATTCCAGCGGTGATTTCGCTCCAGCGTCACAGCAGCCCGGGTTGGAGCCTGTGGGAGAGAGGCCACGCCTCCGACACGATTCCAAGTGTTACATCATGAGACAACATGATGATGATGTCATGGCTGCAGACCGCAACATCACATGATGACATCACATCTCTGCCTCAGCCGTGTAGATGCGATACATCAGCGTGACGATGGCAGCGGCCGCCATCGGAATCAGCCAATTGGGCCACCAGCTGCCAACAACAAACAAGGTGACGTGCGTGGATTTGTGCACCTGATCACGCGTGTGTGTGCGTGTGCGCTGGTACCTTGGCTGCTCCTCCAAAGGAGTCGCCAGACTTTCCTGGAAAACAAACAGCTATTCGTCATCATCGCACCCCTGATGATGTCATCAAAGAGCATGGTCATTCTACATTTTACTGATTTTTTTATTTAATCCTGCCATTAATAGCAAAATTCCACAAGTGATGGCCATCCAAAAAGGTTAGCAATCAAAACCACAAGATGGCGGAAAAGCACTGGAATGAAGCTCGAAACTTTTTTGCTCAAGATGGTGCCAAAGCAAAATACTTTTCAATTAGCATTAAAAAAATGCAAATAGTGAGCTTTTTACTGAATACCAAAGGACACATAGATTGGAATTCCAATTGTTGTGCTCAAGTCTTAGCAGACAGCCACATGAGATGATGATGATGATGATGATGTTACTTTCTGGAAAACTCACCGAAGGCTTGGCCACTTTCTCTCTGTCGTCCTGCACACACATCAACAAACACATATGCATAAAACACACCGTCACATGATTGCACTTGTGCGGTCGGCGGCGGTGGCGTACCGGGTGAAGCTCCCCGACGAACATCTGTTGGGCGATGGCGCGGGCATCGCTGGAGTGTCCGACGTCCTCAAAGTTCTCTGTGGCATCGCCGCCCGCGTGCTCCCTCAGGACCTCCTCGCCGCCCGGGTGCTGCCAATGCACACAGATGGACCTTGAACGGCTCGTAAAAACACTGGCTTTGATAACGCTTATCCAAACACAAATGCACGCGATGATGAATGGCGCTTACTGATGCCACCGCAAGCGACCTCGAGTGACGCCGCGTCACCGTCCGAGGAGGCCCGATGACAACCTTGAGCAAATCATTCGACTTGCAGCACTTGTGTTCTTGGACTTGTGTTGTTGCAATTGTTCGAAGAAAATATGATGGTACACTGCACATTCTGTGCTGTTTTCAATTTGTTATCTAGCTTCAAAAACTATGTCGGACAAATTAAAAAAAAAAGACAAAACATTGATGGGAGCACATTCAAGCTTGTGACTAACTTTGTGAGGTCCCCGAAATGAATCATTATATTTATTAACAATGCAAAAAATGTGAAGATTGCCATGACAATGTTCACAGTTAAACATGTCAGGCCGAAACAGACTGCTTTAAAAATATTTGTTTTGTGAAGTCTAAAAATACTTTTTTTTAATGACAATAATTTTTTTTTTTTGTCAAGTGTAATCCATAGACACTTTTTTTCAAATAACAATTATGTGAAGTAAAAAAATGTTGTCTTTGTTGTAATTTAAAAATAAGACATCTCGTGAGGATAAGTGGTTCCGGAAATGGTTGGATGAACTCCATTCTTAAATGTCACTGTTACAAATGTGTACTTACAATTCAGTACTGGCAAAATTAGTTGTCAATTTTATGTATCGTGGTGTTGTCGGCATCTATTGATAGCACCTAAAGGAAATTGTAATCTGGGTTCATTTTGACATCAACTAATGAATAATTTTACTGAGTTACTTTTAAAGTCAAGTAATCGGTATGGTGGTGACCAAGTTGCTTTTTGTAGGTAACTGCGGCAGCACTGGTCTTATTGTCGAGATTGACTCTCTGGAATTGAAGTTGTGTTGTTAACGTTGTTTAGCTCTTGTTGTATTCTTGAAGATGCCTAGAATTCACTCTTGTCATTCCGGAGTTGTTGCTGCATTACCAGTCAGTAGTTGTGTTGTGTGTTTTTGCGTCCGCGCTCGCTCACCTCCTCGAGGAACCCGGTGACGTCATAGACCTTATGGCTTATGACGATCCAAGTGGACTTGACGGAGTTGTGCTCAGCGATGTCGTCGAGCGTGAAGTACTTAACCTCTTCCGCCGTCATCTTGCGTCTTTGTTGCTTCGAGGACGAAGGTGCGCCTCCAATTTTGACTTTGTGGATGTTTAACTACTCCCAAACCGCGACATTGCACCTACTTTCGCCGATCCCAAACTCATCGCAATCAATGTCCGCTATGAGCTTTCAAATTAAAATAAAATGTCTAAAACTTACTTTCGTTTCTTTAACTTTGAAAGAGTGTGTCCGCTGAGGTTGTGTACGCTTCGTCACATGACAACACTTCAAACTTTCACCCAATGTTTCTTAGCACCGCCCTTTGCCGGACCTCCGTGTTCTCGCTGGTTGACGTCTATCAGTCGGCTCAGTGATATGTCGGCCACCTTGTCAATCATCAGGTGCTCGAGGCGGGTCAAGAAGTGAGTTTGGTGTGCGGCCAACACTTTAAATCCGCAGCTTTTTTTTAAAACTCCTCCATAATGAACATCATTAAGAACAATCACATCACCTGGAAATGGATTAAATATGAAGATTCCAAGAAGGAAAATTTGGCCGTCACTCTTAAAAGTATTTTTTCCCCACTCTTAAACACGTCTCAGCTGTGCGATTTGATGATGATGACGATGATGTTGTAAATGTAGACACTGAGTGTTTTGCTTTGGGGTTTCCAACATAATTTTCTTCGCCTTTTATGTCATCGCCGGCATTTGTTAAGATTGTGTGTTTTGGAGACAGGGGTTGCATCTTCTATTGACGCATGGGAAAGCACCATTTATTCAACATTGTTTAAATTGACATGAACGCAAGAATAAAAAGGAGCAACGCGAGGTGAATTTAGTGCACGAAAACAACATTCGGTCATCTGTCTGCTTTAGCTTTAAAATATTACCGCCCCCTTGTGGCCCAAATTGTAGCTGCGGGGCCACACACAAATCTTCAGCTACATTTTGGCAAATCGCCGCACGTATTTGTGAGGCGTGTACGGCAGGGCTGTAGTAAAAGTCACATATGAGGATGCAGCCAATCAAGAGTCGGTGTTTTCAGATAACGTGTACGAATTTATGACACATTTAACCATGCATTTAAGCGTATGAATCAATGTAAACATGTGACTAAAGTCGCACATTTGTAGAACCTCGACTGAAGTCACATATGTCTAACTTAGACATATGTGACTTCAGTCACGCATCAGCAAAGCAGCCGCAAATACCCGCAAAGTAGCATGGACTCGTCGCCGTGGTAACAAGAAGGGGGAGGTGTAGTAGTGTGTTGGTCTTGGGGTTGAGGCTTACCTGCCTCAAGAGCATAACAGCACACACACGCACGCACACACACACACACACACACACACATACACACTTCAACATTGTTTAAATTGACATGAACGCAAGAATAAAAAGGAGCAACGCGAGGTGAATTTAGTGCACGAAAACAACATTCGGTCATCTGTCTGCTTTAGCTTTAAAATATTACCGCCCCCTTGTGGCCCAAATTGTAGCTGCGGGGCCACACACACACATCAATCTTCAGCTACATTTTGGCAAATCGCCGCACGCATTTGTGAGGCGTGTACGTTAGGACTGTAGTAAAAGTCACATATGAGGGTGCAGCCAATCAAGAGTCGGTGTTTGCAGATAACGTGTACAATTTTATGACACATTTAACCATGCATTTAAGCATACGAATCAATGTAAACATGTGACTAAAGTCGCACATTTGTAGAACCTGTCTAACTTAGACATATGTGACTTCAGTCACGCATCAGCAAAGCAGCCGCAAATACCCGCAAAGTAGCATGGACTCGTCGCCGTGGTAACAAGAAGGGGGAGGTGTAATAGTGTGTTGGTCTTGGGGTTGAGGGCTTACCTGCCTCAAGAGCAAACATAGCACACAGACGCACACACACACACACACACATACACACCCTCTACATCCCATGTGGGGGCGCAACAGGAGCAAAAAGGGCAAGCCACCTCCGGGGAGAAGGAGGCATGCCATAACATGCACACCAATCATACATGCACACGGGAAAGCGGGTTTGCAGCATTCCAAGGCAGCCTGACAGTCTGCACTGCGGGCAAAAGTCAAGGGTGACCTGTGAGAGCATCCTCTGACCAAGTTGTTGTGGTTGGGGAGGAGCAGGCAGAACATCTGGGCGGTCTAGCTCAAATGTTCTCAGGAATTTTGGATCTCAACGCCAAGTTCCTGCTGTTGCTGCACATTACACAGGAAGGATCGCAAGCTGTAACTTTCCAGACCAGGACAAAATATGGCATGTCACCGCTGGAATACATGGCGTGGTGCGCTGGACAACATTTTCTGCTCCCCATTTGACTTCATGACGTGTGGACTCGTCGGGACCTTTGGGGGATGTTGGTGAAAGCAAACCTTCAGATCACAGATCTTCTCAGTGTTCGTCGAAAGCCTTGGGGGAGGTCACGACCCAACACAACTCCTCCCGGTTGTCATTTGTCTCCCTTGGCGATCCCGGCCCATCCCGTCAAGTGGCAGAACCTCCTGGTCTCGTTCGGTCATCTTCTTGGAACCCGAGCAGCACGCCAGCACGAGAAGATGAATAAACCGTGCCGTCCACATCGATTTGATGACAAACGTCCACTGGCGTCCATATTTTACTTCTTTTTCCCAAAGTGAGTGCGGCCAGCAGGTGGTGGTTCTCGTTCTACTTGAGGTCCTTAGAGAGAGAGTTGATATGCACGCTCCGGCCTCTCAGAGTGTCGGCTTCACCTTGGATCGCTCCCATCTGCTTCCCGACAGCTTTGAGCCCACCACACAATTTGATTTGGCCGGCACTTAATCTTCCCCCACTTTTGGCCAACCACAGAGACTCCTCTCTTCCACAAAGAGCAACAATCAGATGGTAATTTGCTCCCCCTCCCTCCAAAGAAAGGGATTTAATTGCCTGTAGATGTCATAAAATTACAGCAAAGCAATACACTCGCTTCTGTATCATTCTTGAGACCCAGATGTCACAAGATGGAGGCAAAGCACTACTTTTGAGTAACTGAAGCTCCTGAATTCATTTCAACATAGTTCCCTGACACCACAATGTCTCTAGATGGCAACAAACTGCTAGTTATCGTCTAACAGACGCCGCTGAACCTGCTCATCTCTCTTCAACACAGAAACGGGCGCAGCACCATGTTGGCGGTTCGCGTTCGCTGGCGGCGCGTGACCTTGGCGCTGCTGCTGGCTTGGTTGGTGGCATGGCTGCTGCTCAGCGGCCTCCTGCTTCTGCTCCATGTCGACTTCCTGTCTGACAGCTGCACCGACACCGCCAGCAAGGAGATCCTGCACCGACTGGTGAGTCGCGCTCATTTGCCAGCAAAGACCCGGAAATCCTCAAGAAACAAAGCACTGTCATAATGAGCAGACACCACTAGATGGTGGCATTAGAGATCAGCACAGCTTTCGAGTGGAAGAGAAAGATCAGGAGGTGAAACTCGGCTTGTCGACATGCTGGAAGTGAGACAAGTTAGGCACCTGACTGACAAAATATAATATATGTGTGATATGAAGCATGTGCAGCGGAAAGTAGTAGAAAGAGCGTGTCGCAGTCATAAGAACAGATGATCACAGTAGAAAATAAATATCGGTCAAAAGTCACTAGTTTCTTTTTCCAAAAAGCTCCTTTTGTCTGTTTTTGGGTCGGAAAGCGCTTTTAAAGAACAGAGAAAGCAAGAAGGCAACTTTTGTTTTCTAGCCTTTCATTATTGGGCTCAGTGCTTCCCTATTTGACCAAAATGGAGAACTCTGCTTTTGAGGGCTGCCAGAGCCCAACCCTGTGCACGATTCAACATGTTCTTTGCAAGGTTGTTTGTGTTCCCCCATCACTTGTTCCCATCTTCCCTTGTGCCTTGACTGCTGACCTTCCTCCTCTTGGTCCTCAAATGAGGCTCTTTTGAAAATCGGACAAAGCTTTTGATGAAGAAGGCGTTGCTCTGAAGGAATGTTGTAGCATCCTCTCGGCGCTCTCCTTCTGCTCTCAAATGGCACATGCAAGTTGAGTACGCAGTGCTGGTCACCACAGCTTGCCGAAAACTGTTCGCACAACACAAGAAAAGTTCTTCTCTCCCAAATATTCACGAGTTGAATAGTTGTAAGCAGTCTAGCATCTGTATTTGTAACTATATCAGTAGTATTGGAAGAGGAGGCTGTCAGAAGGCCGCCGCTTGTCTATTGCGGGTGGGAAAGCAGCAGCTGCGTCTTCCTTTGCTCTGTCCCTGCACGTCTCTGACATTCCAGACTATTTATGGCGCACATTTCATGGCTTCCACCTTCATGTCTCCACATGACGGAGCGCAGCAGACCCCGCGGGGACCACCGGACAGCGCCCGGCAAATGGGAAAAAGTCCCGCTGGGGGTTTCCGTCTTTTGCCATTGACGGATGATTGAGGCGGATGTGTTGACTGGGGACATTTTCCGTTTCCTTACACTGATGTGTGACTCAAGACGAAATCAAGTACACTTATTGGCTGTAACATCAAATGTGTAAAAAGTCCAGTGCGGTGAATACCTTCTCGAAGCTGAAGAGAAAATTTTGGCCATGACATTTCCCCCTGTTCTGATGGCCACCGAGTCCAGCTGTCCAGGCTGCATGTCCGCCATAACGGCTTCTCTGGTGTCCTTCTTTGCTTTGCGGCTCAGTGCGGGGACTTTGCGGCGGGCTGGGCGGCGGGCGACATGTGCGCCGACTTGTGCCTCGGCGGCCTGGTGGAGTACAAGCGCTGTCTCTACTACCGCAGCGGCAAGAAGGTGATGGAGGTCCACTGGAGGGGGCAGCCCGTCATCCTAAAGTCCAAGCTGGAGAATTTGTCGTCCTACCAGCCACTCGGAGCTCTCAATTACCGGGTAGGACAAGAAGACGACAAAGAGGAAGTGATCCACGGGGCTAAACGTGTCCATTTCTTGCTTCCTGGCAGCAAGACGCAACAGAGGACTCGTCTCCTCTGGACATTCTGCTTTCCGCCACCGTGGAGGTACATGGACCGTAGCACTCACTGTCATGCGCAGTGGGATTCAGAACAGAAACCGCATGTTTTTTTTTTTTTTTTCATGACACATTCCAAAAACATGCACTGAAAAAAATTAAATACAAGCATCTGGATCCAAACACCTTTTTTAAGTAGGCTAGGTTCAGAACAGAAACCGCATGTTATTATTATTTTTTTTTTCATTACACATTCCAAAAACATGCACTGAAAAAAATGAAATACATGCATCTGGATCCAAACACCTTTTTTAAGTAGGCTAGTAGCGTATCCAGAAAACATATCATGATACAGATGATATTATTTCATCCAAGCACTTGACGAAATGAAACAGAGTAAATTCAACACATCCCATTTTTTTTCTCAGTGTGTTAGCATGTTCGCTTCATGGAAGGACAAAACGGGATTGCTGATTTGTCTCCATGCGATTGACTGGAAACCAGCCAACAACCACTCTACCAAATCATAGTCAACAGGTCCAATCTGCTCGTGTTCACTGTCTGGTCAGGTGCGTCGCTGGCTGGGACTGGCCGAGGAGGAGGAAGATGATAATGACAAAAGACAGGAAGGAGCCAGTTCCCTGGTCAACCTGAGCACCTCGGATAAGGTTTACTCAAGAGGCGAGCTGACCTCCTTGTGGTCGCTGCTGCAGCAGGACGAGTACACCTTCCTGAGGTGCTCCGCCGCAAGCCGCGTCCGCCCGCCCGTTCCTGCCC